AATGGAAGGAACATCTTTAACCTGTTATATACAATACAACATGGATGTCTACTATCACACATTATTAGTCATTCCTTTAAATATTTTCTGCAGGTCATAGCCTGGGTAGCAATACAAAAGAAGTTAAATCTCTAAATAATTAGAAGAGATATAATAAAACCTTAATTATTTTGCATATGGAATAATTTCTTACATAGAAAAATGGAAGAAAATTATTATAATTAAAAATACAGTTTAGCAGGATTACTTTATAGAACACCTGAATAGCATTTCCCTACACCAGCAAATTTTAAAACATATTTTTATGTTCATTAACATTGACCAGACATTTGACTGTTATCTTAATTTGTTTGGGTGCTATAACAAAATGTCTTAGATAACAAGTAAACAACAGACATTTATATCTTACCGTTCTGGAGGCTGTGAAGTTCAAGATCAAAATGCATGTGGTTTCTGGTAAGGGCCTGCTTCCTCACTGACAGTGCTTTTTAGCTATGTCTTCACATGATGAAAAGAGCAAAAATATTTCCTCTGGCCTCTTTTATGAGGGCACTAATCCTATTTATGAGTTTTCTGCTCTCATAATATAATCACCTCCCAAAGACCCCCAACCTCTTAATATAATCACCTTGGGGGTTAGGATTTCGACATATGAATAAACATTCAGATTATAGCAATAATATTAAGGATTTGTTGTTATATTATTATAAGGATGACATTTCTTTCTGAACTGAGCTTTAGTCTCAATGTAATTCCAGTCACAACGTTGGCATGGAAATTAGTGGGTTCATTCCAATATGGAAGAGAAAAGAAAGATAGTTAAGATTTCCTGATGAAGAACAAGTAGAGTGGCTTGTTTATTCTGGATATTAAGACCTATAATAAAGTTGTAATAATGAAAACAGCATATTATTATGGATATGGAACAAAAAGAAAAATGGAATTGATTTGGGAACCCAGACAGACCCAAACACATACGGCAACTCATATATGACAGAGTTGTGATTGCACATTAATACGTTGTATTTGACAAAGTTGGAAAAAAGTGAAATTGGATTCCTGTCTCCCACCACACACCTGCACTCACATACAAACACGTTCTCCAAGTAAACACTGAAATGTGAAAAACAACTCCTTAAAACTTTTATGAAAGAAAAAAGAAAGTAACTTCAGGACACAGGATTGAGGATTTCTTAAGCACATCAGAAAACGTGAAAACAATTATATTAAAAGCTCTATGCATTAAAATCATAAACTTTTGCTTATCTTAAGACAATACATTGCAAATAAAAAGAGAAGACCGAAACTGAGATAAAATATGTGCCATACATATGACCTAAAGAAGATTATTCAGAACATACAAAAACTTCTATAAATATAGGCAAAAACCAAGAACAGTTATTATACATAAAAGGAAACATGACTATCTAAATAGTGCATGAAAATATCTTCATTGTTAATCATGGAAATGCAAATTAAAACCACGGTGGAATACAATTTTATTTTCATTGGAGAGCAGAAATTAGATACAAGAGCAGAGGGTGGTAAAGGAAACCTTGGAAAACTACTATATCCTGGAATCCAGCATTTGTACTTCTGAGTTAAACATATAATGAAATGTTACTTTACACTCACTACATTGACAAAGTATCAAATAAAATAAAAAAGTAAAATAAAATAATTGACAATACCAAGTATTGGTGAGGAATGGAGGAAATAGAGCTCTCATGAAGAGATGGCAAGAGTGTAATCAAAAATATTTTAAAAGCATTTTGGCATTTTTTAGTATGCTTTTAAAGTTACTGAGCTGCATACCTTATGGACCAATAATTCCTTGTCTAAAGAAACTTTCTCATATGTTTATCAGAAAACATGAATAAGAATATCAGGCAAGGCATGGCGGCTCATGCCTGTAATCCCAGCACTTTGGGAGGCTTAGATGGGCGGATCACGAGGTCAAGAGCTCCAGACCATCCTGGCTAACATAGGCAAACCCTGTCTCTACTAAAAGTAGAAAGATTAGCTGGGCGTGGTGGCACATGCCTGTAGTCCCAGCTACTCGGGAGGCTGAGGAAGGAGACTTGCTTGAACAACTGAACGCCGGAGTGGGAGCTGAGATCTCGCCACTGCACTCCAGCCTGGCGACAGAGCGAGACCCCCTCTCAAATAAATAAATAAATAAATAAAAAGAATATCCAGTGCAGCATTGTTTACAATAGTGACAGGCTGAAAACAACTTTAAAATATTTATCTCAGGAAAATTGATTAAAAACTTGGAGGAATCCCAAACAACCAGTATTGAGTAAAAAAGGGAAATATGAAAACCATGTATAAGATACCAATTATGTAAAAGTAAAATCCCTAAAATTAAACAAATTGTTAAAGAGATATACATATATGTATATAGACCTATTAAAAAAAGACAATAGGGAACAAAATCGGATTGATGCTTACCCTGGGGATCAAGGTAAGTGAGTCAATAGAGGAAAACGATTCCAGGGGGCTTTGATGATATTAGAGATGTTCTACTTCATAACCCAGGTGGTTCACTATTCTTTATACATTGTATACATTATATATGTTGTATATTCTTTATGTGTTTAAATTATTTCATCATATTAAAATGATGGTATAAAAGTGAAGTAAAGGCTATATACATTTTTTGACTCATTAATTTTACCTTAGTGCTGAAAAATATTTAGAAATTCTCCACAATTGGGACAAATTATTAATTCTTCAGTTGAGCCCTAAAAGAAGTATTTCATTTGCCTTTTGAGGCCCTATTGTATAACATTCCATGTTTTCAGTGGCTTGCACCATAAAGCAACTGAGACCAACAAAAAGATTGATAGATTGAACATCTTGCACATGCCCTGTGCAATTAATCAATAAAAATTGATTAATTTTTATTAATCAATTTACGGTGTACAGGAACAAACAAAATCTAAAGCAATCTTCACATTTTTCTTCTCTTTGTTTGTCAATGTAGACCATATATTGCTATGTTTATATAAATATGTGTTTTAAAACCTCAATTTATGTGAATTTTAAAGAACGTATTTGATGCACCTTTTTAAATAAATGACTTTCCTGTCAAATTGTGTTGTTTTAACTCAGTTTACCTGCCCTATCCCAAATATACAGCTAGAATACAATAGCAATAGAGAAAGGGGGTAAGAAAAGGTAGAGAACAGATAAAGTAACAACAATGAAACAAAGTCGAAGGCAGATCACTCTTAATGGGAATGAAAAAGAATAGAATTCTTCTCAGCAGCTCTTCCATAAAATGTAGGTTGCTCTGTTGACTGATCCAAGTAGATATTAAAATAATAATAATAATAAAGGAAGGGGGAAGAAAGCAAAAATGGGAGTAGCTTCAAAAAGATAAGACATAAGTGAGAAACTGTTTTTATTGCATCTTCCTGTGTAGGCCAGCTTCTCAGCTGTGGCATCAGACTTACCTTTTATCTCTTGTAATGCTTTCTTAACACTATGGTATCGTTTCTTATTTCTTTTCCATGCACGTAGTGTGGAGGGGGTATCTAATCTTTTGGCTTCCCTGGGCCACAGCGGAACATGAGTTATCCTGGGCCACACATAAAATATATTAACACTACCAATAGCTGATAAGCTAAAATAAAAAATTTAAAAATCTTTTTAAAAAGTCTCATAATGTTTTAAGACAGCGTATGAATTTGTGTTGGACCACATTCAAAGCTGTCCTGGGGCCATGTGCAGCCCATGGGTCATAGATTAAACAAGCCTGGTTTAGGAGTTGTTGAATAAACAGGGTCTTAGAGGAAATAAGTGAGAAAAACAATGTGATGGGCAATTATATCAAAATAAACATTTAGGTGATAGCTTGGATAGCAATAAGATTCTTTTAAGAAGATACATTTTTGCCCCAAAAGGAAATTGTTCCTTTTTAGTCCCTTTTTATTATATTCCAGCCACAAAATTAAAAATAAAAAACAACTTTATCTGGATTAAATTACTTTTATTAAGTTCTCATGTCTGATTCTCTTCTAGGTACTATACAAAATATTTAATAGATTTTGTCTGGCATCTAATATGTCATAAGCAAAAATAGTGTCACTGAATTATAGGCTAGATATATAGGAATAAATATACAAAGTACAGAAAATACAACACAAAAATTAATTTCATATTGATTTGGCAATTTGTGTTTTTGTTTTGAGTCTACTGGAAAACACTGTGCTCATAGCATCATGTAATTTGGCATAAAATTTGTATCTAAAGAGCTCTCTCTCTGTATTATTTTAAAGAACAATAGCTATATGTCAATCATATCATATCATATGAAATCGCTTTAACTATAACAAAGAAATATCTCAACTGGAATGACACCAAGATTTTGGAACTGACTTTTAAGTGGATTATGTTGATGTTGATAGAAGGATCAGAACTAACAGAAGAACTAGTTGGCATTAATTTCACTCTTCTCTGCAATGTCATAGTGCTTTACGTGGTTTTCTTTGTTTTTTTGTTTGTTTGTTTGTTTGTTTGTTTTGGAAAGGGTCTTGCTCTGTCAGCAAAGCTGGAGCGCAGTGGTGCCATCAGAGCTCACTGCAGCCTCTAACTCCCAGGCTCATGTGATCATCCCACCTCAGCCTCCCAAGTAGGTAGGACCACAGGTGCATACCAGGACACCTAGCTAATTTTTTTTTAATGTTTGTAGACACAGGGTGTTGCTGTGCTGTCCTGGCTGGTCCTGCTCTCAAGCAATCCTCCCTCCTTGGCGTCCTGAAGTGCTGAGATCACAGGCATGAGCCACCACAATGATCATTAGTTTTTAATTTAAGAAATTAATTCATTCCGCTTTGATTTGTGTTTAAGTTTCATGTGATAGTGTCCTGTCTCATTCATCTTTCAATATTCCACAACATCCATTAATATTGTTCATATATTGAGCAGCCATATCTCAAAAGAATAAAGAATTATCCTTTTAAAAAAAGTTTTTCTTTTAAAATTTATTTCAGAAATTTGGTACAACTGTATAAAAGTGAAGATGACATGGAAGTTTCAAAGAAGATTAAGACTCAGTGGACTTCGTTGGGCCTAGAAGATGTACAGTTTGTAAATTACTCTGTGCTGCTGAATCTGCCAGGCCTTTCTCCCAGCACTGTGACTCTAAGCAGCAGTGGTGAGTGCTTTCATCCTGATGGCCAGCCTTGCGGTGAAGAAGCCAGAAAAGATAGCAGCCAAGACCTCCTCTACTCATATGCAGCCTATTCTGCCAAAGGAACTCTCAAGGTAATATGACCATTTGTCTCTGTCCTTTACAGTGAGATATAATTAGAAAACAACCGCTTTCATCTAAATTGAACTAACTGGCAAGATGCAACATATAAAAGGAGCCATTAAATAGTCTCAGTGTGGAGGTGCCAGCAAAGAAAAGGAAGATTTGGCCCTCCTGACCCTTTTCTTGTCATATTTTTGAAAGTGAAAACATGTTAGAAAAATTTAATTCAAAGGTGTTGAATGTGTGACTGTGTCATTCACATGTTGCTCTGTCCGTATAGTGCATGTCTATTTCATTCTGTGACTTTGAAGAGGCCAAATTTAATACATTGATACAGAGAAAGGAAAATAAATGGAGAAGGTTGTGTTTTTAGATTGTGTACACATAAAGTAAATTAAGTGGAAAATTGATATGATTATTAACACATTCAAGATTTGAAACAGCACTCTTGCTTTCATGATGGAAAACACATGTGATAAGAAGCCAGGTGTGTATTATTTCTTCACCTTTTCTGGGTCAGCAGATTTATGGTGCAGTGCTTTTTGACATAGTGGTTAAGTGTAAGGCTTCTAGAGCCACATGGACTAGTTTTACATCTCTGGTCCCCAATTACTCACTGTTACTTTACCATGGGGAAGAAACTGGGGCTGAGTTTCGTCATCTCTGTATTGGAGTCAATAATAGTTCCAACTCATAAGGTTGTTGTGAGAAAAAATTAACTAATATATATAAATCTAGGAGGACAGAGCATAGTCTATAGTAAGAACAATATACAAGTTAGATACAACAACAGGCAATTGGTCAACAGTTTTCTTTACATGGGCAAGTTTTCTAACTCTATGTAAAAATATAATTTTAATAAATAGGCTTAGTTTTTTTTTTTAAATCAAGCTGTAGATTGCCTCATTTAATACCAATGAAATAATGTTATGTTTCTGACTGTTGTTAATGGCACAAATGTTTAAGAATCTAACTTATGAACTATGATTAACATATGGAATTTTAAATAATTTAAAATTACTTTGCGTAAATACTTGACATAATAATAGCAAATGCTTGTTCCTAATATATTTTGAGGAAGCGGGAGGGAGCGGGAGGGAGAGGCAGATTTTCTGGCAGTCCAACATTGTATCTATTCTGTATGTATCATACTTTGACTTTTAGCCAAAGAGCTGCGTATAACTATTAGCACCTTGAAAAGTCTTACCATTAATTAAACTTTAATATAATATTAAATGTCTGCCATTTTTCTAGTGTAGTACTCATATAATTTGATTTGATTAATATTATACTATTTCTGGTAGGTAATAATGGTAACACACCTATATATTAGTAAAAATAGAGTTAGGCAACCGTCACTCTTTCCTTGATTCAGAAGCTTTGGCCTTAAGCCAAGATTCTAAAAATTACCCTGATATTTTCTCTAAAACTCCTAACTGCCTAAGACACATGCATTTTCAACCTCTTCTTTATCCCAGTTGGCTAAGGTCATTTCTTCCCTTAAACGAAAGCGTGTCTAAAACACAGAACAATTACAAAAACACCAGGAGTTTGAGTGGATCCTTGGAATCCTCCCCATCTCCTTGCTTTTCAATTTCCTCTGGTGAACACTGATTATTCCTTGAAGGAGGGGATATGCAAATTTCATGAAACTGCAACTTGTATTCCTGTTAGCATGGCCCTCTGAAGTAACCCCTTGGGCCCAGTGGATTGAAGGTAGAATAAGATTAAATAAATATGGGTTCAAAAACAAACACAAACACCTCCCTCAATGCCCCCGCACTTTCATATTGTCCAGTTTCCATGCAGACCAAGAAAAGAGATATCCTATCACTGTGAAACTTCCCAAAGTCCCTTGTGGGAACATATTTGGTTGGTCTTACTGTATAATGGGGAGATTCATGGGATCAGGAAAATTAAATTTCGATGACTACTCTTTTATACTCAGGACTTTATGCATAATAAGGGAGAGATGGGAGAGGAACCCTTCAGTAACAATCTGTTTACCTTGGTTTAAAAGGGATATTGGCCAGGCGTGGTGGCTCACGCCTGTAGTCCCAGTACTTTGGGAGGCCAAGATGGGTGGATGGCCTGAGGTTAGGAGTTCAAGATGAGCCTGACCAACATGGTGAAACTCTGTCTCTACTAAAAAAAATACAAAAATTTCGCCAGGCCTGGTGGCGAGTGCCTGTAATCCCAGCTACTCTGGAGGCTGAGGCAGGAGAATTGCTTGAGTTCGGGAGGTGGAGGTTGCAGTGAGTCGAGATTATGCCATTGCACTCCAGCCTGGGCAACAAGAGTAAAACTTCTCAAAAAGAAAGAAAGAAAGATATTAACAGATATTGCATACTTCTGCTTTCTGATTCATACTCACCACTGATAAACCCTCCTAATCATGGGGGTGGTGGGCGTTGGAAGAAAGAAAGTCAAGGAAAAGATCTTTTGGAAGACTCTGTTTGGCCCTAGATTTCCAATAGTGGGCAAATTTACTTTCCTACAATATTTGTGCAGATGTTGGACACAGGTATTATACGTAATTGTATGTTTGATTTTTATATTTTATAAAAGACATGGCTGAATCACAAAAATGTTAATCAACCCCTTTATTCTAACAGATGATGCTGTAGGTTGGACATGTAAATATTCTTCACCCTTTATTTTGATAGCCTCTCCTGCAAGTGTCCTGTGTTCAAGTAGTGTGTAGGAGTCAGAAATGTTTGGCTATTTAGTGTCCATTGTTAGATTCCTTCACACAACTGAATGCAATCTTATTTTTAATGTAAAATAAGTTTTTAGTTTAAATATATGTAATATTACTAATATGTAGAGGTTTAATATTTTAAGACATAAGTTAAGGTGAATTTGCAAAATTCTGTAGCTTCAAACTTCTTACAAATGCTTTAAGGAACAGTTCTTAAAAGCAAGAACTAATCTTACTTTTAAGAACTGATCCTATTCCCTGTCTTCTAGATATTTTTAGACCACACCAAATTCCAAGCAGCCACAGATTGATTAATTTATAAGGACCCTATAATTATGATGTGATTAAAATTAAAATATATTCAGACCTGAAGTATTTTAATATCTTTTTTCAAATTCAGCAGTCATTGTGTGTGGAGGTTAAGTTAGCCTCCATAAATTTTACTTGAACACTGTTTCTATTTCCTTGACAATTTCCAATCATCAGGGCCTAGAAACTAGAAATCTGAATTCTAAGAATGTCGATAGTGTTCTTAATGTTGATAGTATTCTGTACCCCCAGCCCCTCTGCCATTTATAGTCATAAGTTATAGGGAAGGATTAGTTGTATTCTCAGCATTTTGGTTATGTGTTTGAGATGTTTGGTAGCAGTCTTTTTAGATCCCTTTAAATGAAACGGTTGTTTTCTTATCCAAATATATGTGGTTCTTTTCCCCATTTTTATTTTTTCTTTTCCTGTTTCTTTTCTTGTCAAGAGAGGGCACAAAAGATATTTGAGTTCAACGAAGAAGCCAGTTTACTTAAAAACAATGTATTTTAACTTTCTTTGTAATTAATTAATTTTAAATTATAGTTTAAGTTCTGGGGTACATGTGCAGAACGTGCACGTTTGTTACACAAGTATACATGTGCTATGGTGTTTTGCTGCACCCATCAACCCGTCATCTACATTAGGTATTTTTCCTAATGCTATCACTACCCCAGCACCCCTTCCCTCTACAGGCCCTGGTGTGTGATATTCCCCTTCCTGTGTCCATGTGTTCTCATTGCTCAACTCCCACCTATGAGCGAGAACATGTGGTGCTTGGTTTTCTGTTCTTGTGTCAGTTTGCTGAGAATGATGGTTTCCAGCTTCATCCATGTCCCTACAAAGGACACGAACTCATCCTTTCTTATGGCTGCATAGTATTCCATGGTGTATATATGCCACATTTTCTTTGTCCAGTATATCACTGATGGGCATTTGAGTTGGTTCAAAGTCTTTGCTATTGTGAACAGTGCTGCAATAAACATATGTATGCATGTGTCTTTATAGTAGAGTGATTTATAATTTTTGGGGTATATACCCAGTAATTAGATTGCTGGGTTGTATGGTATTTGTAGTTCTAGATCCTTGAGGAATTGCCACACTGTCTTCCACAATGGTTGAACTAATTTACACTCCCACCAGTAGTGTAAAATCATTCGTGTTTTTCTATATCCTCTCCAGCATCTGTTGTTTCTCGTTTTTAATTAATGCCATTCTAACTGGTGTGAGATGGTATCTCATTGTGGTTTTGATTTGCATTTCTCTAATGACCAGTCATGATGAGCATTTTTTCATCTGTCTGTTGGCTGCGTAAACGTACCCCTTTGAGAAGTGTTTGTTCATCTCTGTGACCCACTTTTTGATGGTGTTGTTTTTTCTTTTTTTCTTGTACATTTGTTTAAGTTCTTTGTAGATTCTGGATATTAGACCTTTGTCAGATGGATAGATTGTACAACTTTTCTCCCATTCTGTAGGCCGCCTAGTCACTCTGATGATAGTTTCTTTTGCTGTGCATAAGCTCTTAAGTTTAATCAGATCCCATTTGTCAATTTTGACTTTTGTTGCCATCACTTTTGGTGTTTTCTTCTAGGGTTTTTATGGTTTTAGGCCTTAGGTTTAAGTCTTTAATCCAAATTGAGTTAATTTTTTTGTAAGGTGTAAGGAAGGGATCCAGTTTCAGCTTTCTGCATATGGCTAGCCAGTTTTCCCAACACCATTTATTAAACAGGGAATCCTTTCCCCATTGCTTGTTTTTGTCAGGTTTGTCAAAGATCAGATGGTTGTAGATATGTGGTGTTATTTCTGAGGCCTCTGTTCTGTTCCATTGCTCTATATATCTGTCTTGGTACCATTACCATGCTGTTTTGGTTACTGAAGCCTTGTAGTTACAGTTCGAAGTCAGGTAGTGTGATGCCTCCAGGTTTGTTCTTTTTGCTTAGGATTGTCATGGCCATGCAGGCTCTTTTTTGTATATTTTCACTTTCAAACTACTATGTGTATGTA